CAGGCTGTCTGGCACTGGCCACGGAGGCATTATTCTAGCTGTGGGGTCAGCTGGCCCATGCAGACTTGGGCCAGAAAAAGCAAGGTCTGTATGAGGGGTGTGAAAAGCCCAGGGTACTTAGCATCCCCAAAGGGTCAGCTGAATAGGGCCATCTATACAGGTTATCCAGCACCAGCCTCTAGGGCTTCAAGTCTGCCCGTGATGCAGCTGTGTGGTCAGCAGGGCAGTGCAGACCACGGGCCTGAGTAAGCAGGGTGTGCACGGGGCAGGTACCAGAGTATGGAGTACTCAAGATCCCCTGAGGGTCAGCTGAAGAAAGCTGTCCACACAGGCTGTCCAGTTGTGGCCCTAGGATCCTAGAGCAACTGTGCGGTCAGCAGGGCAGTGCAGACTATGGGCCTAAGTAAGCAGGACAGGCGTGGTGAGGTGAGCTAAGTTTGGGGTACTCAGGGGCCCCCAGAGGGTCAGCTGAATAAGGCTGTCCCCACAGGATGTCCAGCACTGACTCTACTTCCTTGAAACAACTGTGTGAACTTCAGGGCAGTACAGACCTTGGCTTAAGCCAGTATGGTGTGTGTAGGGCAGCAGACAGACTACGGGGTACTCTGGGTCCCCAGAAGGTCCTGGGGTGACCAGGGATGGCACAGAGAAGTATTGCCTCAGAGGCAGTCCTTGGGGTTCATGGTGGCCATCTAGACCTCGCTTGGTCAGCAGGTCTGCAACTGTCCTAGGACGAGGAGGGGCCTCTGCGGCCAAGCGATGACCATGTCCTAACCAGGTGAGGTAAGTGATGACCGAGCGGCAAGTGAAACCCCATGGTTACCTCTTGTCCTGCCCCCAGGAGATCAAGTGGGCTGCATGGCCCTGCACAAGAGAGGGACCTACGTGGTGGCCGTGGGCACGTGCCTCGGCCTCCTGGACTGGGCGACAGGACAGGTGCAGTGGCTGTCTCAAGTGGATAAGGACAAACCCAACAACAGGTTCAATGATGGCAAGGTGGACCCCGTCGGGAGGTTCGTGGCAGGTGAGCTCAGGGGCCAGTGGGATGAGTGGGAAGGGTGAGGGGCAGCTGTCACCTCGGGCACCAGGCCAAGTGTCAGAGGAAGGGGAAAAGATGCTGGTCACTTCTGGCTGTCAGGATGTCCAGTGAACAAGCACATAGCAAGCACTGGGAGCCCCTGCCCAGAGGAGTGCGGCATTTAACAGCAAGGACTCACGGTCCACACAGTCACAGACCGAAGAACTGGTCTCTACAGTAGGACTCCCCTCCACCACACACACACACACACACACACACACACACCAGGCATCAGGAGGGGAGACAGCTGTGTCAAGGTGGAGGCAGAGATGGGAGAGATTCATCCACAAGCCCAGGAATGCCGGGGTGGGGGTCAGAAGCTGGAAGAGCTGAGGAAGAACCATTCCCTGCAGGCTCTGGAGGGGCCATTCCCCAGCCACCAAATTGATTTGGACTTCTTGGATAAATCTCTCTTGTCCTAAGTTTGCCTCAAAGCCTGCCTAAGTGGTTTCCCTATAGCAGCCCAGGTCATGCTGTCCAGTACCCTGAAGAGAAACCACATCTATCTATCTTCCTTCCTTCCTTCCTTCCTTCCTTCCTTCCTTCCTTCCTTCCTTCCTTCCTTCCTTCCTTCCTTCCTTCCTTCCTTCCTTCCTTCCTTTCTTCCTTCCCGCTGTGCTTGGGAGCAGGTGTGGGTATGAGGATGCTCCTGGAACCTGATGGGGTGGGAATGGGTCTTGTTCACTCACCTCCACCATTACAGGCACCACGCTTGACCTGACAGGACCAGGGCTGTGGGAGCATAGCCAGGGCACAGGTGTGGGCATGAGGACTCTCCTGGAACCTGATGGGGTGGAAAGGGGTCTTGCTCATTCACCTCCACCCTTTCAGGCACCATGCCAGAGCCCACAGAGCCAGGAGTGTGGGAGCCTGGCCAGGGCGCCCTGTACACGCTCTACGCAGATGGCTCGGTAGTGCAGCAACTGGATGGACTGGGCATCTCCAATGGGCTGGACTGGTCTCTGGACCACCGCACCTTCTACCACGTGGACAGCCTGGACTATGCTGTGAGGGCCTACGACTATGACACGCAGACCGGAGCCATCGGTAGGATGCCATGTGCCTACCACTTCAGATCCAAGCCACCATGAATGAGCCCCAGACCCGTAATCCCCATCCCCAGAGCCCTCCACTCTAAACGCTACATCACATGGATTCTTCTTATGGACGCATAAGCTCACATCTCACTCTCTCCCACCTTATACACACTCAACCGTTAATCTCCATCTCAAGAACCTCCTCATTCTCACACTCAAGGATCACTCACTCCATGAACACTTCATGAGCCCCACGTCATAAACTTCCAGATCACCCATTCCCATGCCATGAATCTTCCACTTCATCTCATGAGCCACCGTAAACTCCACCTCATAAACTCACGCCATTACTTTCTCAACCCATGAAGCTCTCACTCAACAAACACTCCAACCTCAGGCCCCTCATGAACTGCCACCTTATAAACTCTGAGATCAATAATCCGAAACTCAACTATCCTGCACTCTTTGAACCTCCCTGTAAATAGAGTAAGGGCTATGTAGGGAGATCATATCTGACCTTCATCAACTTCACAAAAGGGAACTGTCCCCTTCCAGAGCATCAATAACACAATACCAATTCCCAGGAGGTCAGACATGCCCCCTCATGCTCCCATACCTCTTCCTACTTGTCTCAACACCAATCTTACTTTTTTTACTAGGTTCCCCAATCCGATGTGATAGCTCACAGTTTACACAGAACCATATTAGGGAAGTCAAAATGTTATAATCCTGATTAATAACAGGATGCAGTTGAGACAGCTTCTGAAATGGGGCATAGGCACCTCAGCTTCGAGCATTGTGGCTTTCAGCCCATTGCTCCCAAGTTCTCAGTCCTGCCAATATTGGCTTCTCACTCCCAGTTGCCCTAGAAAGTTCTCAGTCCTGCCAATACTGGCTTCCCACTCTCAGTTGTCCGACAAAGTTCTCAGTCCTGCCAATATTGGCTTTCCCTTTACAAGGTCACATCTCATATCAAGTCTCCCTTTTTGGCCATGGCTGTTCTTTTCCTGGTGCTGAAGTGTCTTTTCTGGTGGTGAGGAGAGATCTTCTCTTCACTGGGGAGGGTAGATGTGTCTATCAATGCTGAGACTAGCTGATCTGCCCGTAAATTGTTGAGACTGGCCAGTTCCTTTGTGTAACGATAGAGTGCCCATAAGCTAACATGCCCCATTCACATATTCATGCTCATCTACATAGCAAAGCAAAATGGCTAGAAAAAGTCATGGTGAAAGATAAACTCCACACCTCCATCTCATGAACCCGTATGAACCCCCACTTCATAAACTCTCAGACCACTAATCTCCATCACATGACCCCCACTCCATGAAAATTCCACCTTATCAACTCCCAAGAACACGACCTCAAACGTGTAGACCATCCATCAATCTCCAACTCAGAAATCTCTCACTTCATGAACATTCTACTTTGGAAACCCTCATGACCTCTTCCTCATAAATTCCCATACCGTTAATATCTACTCATGCATCCCTCACTCTGTGAACATTCCGTCTCGTGAAGCCCTATGTCTCTGCCTCATGAACTCATACCTTTATTCTCCCAACCCATGAAGCTCTCACTCCCTAAACACTCCACACCAAAACTCATAAACGACACAGACTACGAATCTCCATCCCATGAATCTCTCACTCTGTGAACCCTCCACCCCATGAATTCTCCATGGGCACTATAAACCTGCATCCCATCATTCTCTTACCTCGTGAACACCCATGAGCCTCCAGCTCTCACATTCGTATCATTACTCTCCCACCCCGTTGACCCTCCTCTCATAAACTTCTACCCAATGGACCCCTGTCCATAAACTCCCATCTCATTAATCTCCAACCCTATGAACTCCAGCCCATTAACCCTCATCCCATAAACTCCCTCCCTCTCATGAACACCTGACTCATAAATGTTCCATCCTACTCACCCTCCTAAAGCACACATCTCTAACTCATGTAGCCCATTTTATGGACCTCCCATCCCTTTAACCCTTCCATTCATGTACCCCCCCATCATATGAACCTGTATGAAACCCACCCTATTTCCTCCTCCCCACCTCCTTTTAGCTCTGTCTTGGGCGGATCTAGTTCTAGGGGAGGCTTCTCCTGGAGTTGGGGAAAGTATCGGTCTCATACAGAGGCCTCACCTGTGGGATCTGACTGGAGGGATGGCATCATCACCTGGGGTTGAGGAGCCTCATCTGGGGGAGACTTGTGTGTGGAGGGTCTCCATCCCACCCAATACCAGCACGAGCAGCAGGCTTTGAGTGTTTATCTCATCAGCATAGTTCTTGGAAAGGTTTGGTCCTGAGCAGCACTGGTGTACTCTGTCCAGTTACAGGCCAAGGGAGAAGTTATCCGTGGCCTTGGGCTCTCAGCCCGGCTCTGGCAGAACATAGCAGACATGTGGGTTCATCTGATGGGCCAAAGGGCTGCTTTCTCTGTGCAGCCAGCTCCCATGGCCTCTGGATACCCCTGCAGAAGGTGGTGGAAATCACGCAGAAGACTTGAGTCTTTGAGCCTCATCAGCAAATGCTTCAGGTCCTCATCCCCAGCAAGCTAGGCTGCATCATCTGCATGCTTCAGGCTATTAACCATTGGTGGAAATCTCTAGCTTAGTAGCCAGCAGGTTATAAGTGCTGGTACCATCATGGATACTCCAGCGTGAAAGTTGCAGTCTTTGGTCTTTGCCAACACAGCTGTGTGGGTGACCGTGCTCTGTACGGTCTTGAGTACACGTGACTGTTTAGGAGTGTCAAGGGACATGCTCTTTGCTGTCTGAGATATTGAGTGGACGTGGCTATCTGGGGAGACACGCTCTGTTGTGTCTGTGGTGTTGAGTGGATGTGACGATGTGGATGACTGTGCTCTTTGCCATGTGAGGTCTGGCCAGCTCTGTTGACTGGGTCAGAGGAGGCTATGCTACACATTCAGTGAGAGTGGACAGCAGGAGGTGTCAGGAGAAGATAGACACACAGACCCTTCAGCTGGCCTCTCTCTCCTTTCAGTAAATCCACGATTGCTGCTCCAGCTTCAGAAGATGGATGGCATGCCCGACGGGATGTGTGTGGACACCCAGGGAAGACTCTGGGTGGCCTGCATTGATGGGGGCCGAGTCATCCACCTGGACCCTGAAACAGGTGAGAAGCCAGGTACAGAGGTTCTGAATGGTCTGAGTAGACGGGCAGAGGGATGTTCCTGAATCCTGACATAAGTGAGCTTCCAGGGAGAAAGAATCTGGGTATTCTCTATCAAAGAAGGCCAGGTGATACACCTGAACTCTGAAGCAGGTAAGAAGTGTTGAGGTAGAGAAGTTATGGGTGGTCAGAGTGGAAGATAAATATGTGAATAACTACTGTGGGAATGTGAAGGTAAAGGTAGGGCAGGGGAAGAGGCTACGAGCAGGAAGCTTAGGCCAGGTAGAAGAGGACAGTAAAGCAAGGAGGGAGAGGCCCCCCGTAGATGAGTTAGAATTGGGGGCTACAGGCAAATGTTTGAGGATGATTTGGGGATCCCGTACTTTCAGGATGATCAAAGTATGGCAAAGTGGGAGACCCCAACAACCACTGGTCACCCACAGGGGTTAGGGTTACTAAGGGCAGGACAGAAGAGGGTCAAGAGAGAGGGAGGGGTGTTGGGGAAGGTAGGGAGCTGAGGAAGGTGGGGTTCTGGGACAGCTGAGGAGGAGGAGGGAGGCCATATCAGGGAGCAGAGGGTGAGGGTGCTGGTCAGTGGGCCCCCCATTTTCCAGGAGTAGAGGTCAGTGGAAGGGATCCCTGTTATAGGGGAGGGATGGAAGTAGGAGAAAGGGGAGGAGGTATCAGCACCTTAGTGGGTCTGTGAAGGTGATCCCCCTGGAAACCCTGAGAGGTCTGGGGGCAGGAGGAGAGATACGTGTTCCTACAGCTGTGATGCTGACCCCCATCCTCCTAGCTCCATGGTGTGAAGAGCAGGACAGGGCTGGCATCCATGACAATGAACTGCCCTCCCTCTTCCCCAGGGACTGTGCTTAAAACGGTGGACATGCCCGTGTCCAGGATCACCTCCTGCTGCTTTGGGGGACCTCGCTACTCGGACCTGTATGTGACCTCAGCATCTGATGGCCTGAGTGCTGACCAGCTGTCCCAGGAACCCCAGGCTGGATGCATCTTCAAGGTGCTCCCATGGGGAAAGGGATCATGGGTAATGAGGGGATCTCTGAGGAGGTCACCTCTTTGAGGGACTTTCCAGCTCTTCTGTGACTACAAGGACAGGCCTGGAGCCCCTGGGTTTCCCATGGGACTGGGAGCAGAACCAGCAGATACATAGACACAGGTCTCCAGCCATTTGCTTGACCAAACAGCTACTCCCAGCACCGTATCAAGGGGCGATCCAGCCCTGCAGGTGATGTTCCGCTGTTGCAGACCAAGGGTCCCAAAGAATGGAATAATTTTATAATTATTAATAATGAGACAAACAGCCAGGAATGAGATAAATCAGAGAGCATAAAACAGGGGGCCAGCAGTTTGCGACTGAAGACCCCAAGTCATGTTTCTCTGTGTATTTCTTGATAATCTGGGGAAGCACATAACAAAAGGAATTCCTTGTAAATGAAGGTGAATTTTTCTCTTTTGTCAGCTTAATGCTCTAGCTCAGGAAGTATTTCCCAGGAAGTAACACTCTGTAGGGGGGGCCCTAGCCGTCTCCTGTCTGCAGGGAACAAACAGCTCATTTTCTGGAATCTGCCACAAGAGAAATCCTAACTTATAAATCTGTAGTTCCTTCAATTCCTGAACAAGGGTTTTCATATAATGTTTGGTATAAAGTTTGGCTTCCCATATTCTGCCCCCAGGACCAGGTGTGAGTCACAGGGCAGGTAGGACAGAGGGCAAGTGTGGGGTCACAGCCCTGGTCATTCTCAGTATCCAGGATCCCCCTGTGGAAGTGGACATGCCTGTGAGGGGCATGTGGCAGGGGTTGAGGTCACAAGGCTGCAGGTGATACTCTGGCCTCAGGATCCAACTGTAGGTCTGGACACACCTGTGACAGATAGGTGGGGTATGGGCCAGGGCATCACCTTCCCCCAGTACCCTGCTGTGGTGTGAGGAGCAGGTAGGCTAGGGTTCAGGGGTTGAGGGGGGTCCCTGGGCCCCATTCCAGGATCCCACTGTGGGTGTGGACGGGACTGTGAGGGGCAGGTGGGGTACAGGGCAGGTGTGGGATTCATCAACCAAGAAGTACTCGGACTTTAGGGTCTTGGGAGCCACTGTTGCAGAAACAAACAGCCACTCTGTATGGGCAGGTCTCTGCACAGCAATGTCCACTTTCGCAGTTCTGGGGCCCAGCGTCCACTCTGGGGTATCAGCTGTGTCCACTCCTCTGAGGCTCCAGGAGCAAACTTTGGTTCCTCTTGGTGGTCATTCATTTCTTGGGGGTGAGCAGGCACTCACTCCATTTAATGTCTACTGCACTCCATTTAATGTCCATTCTAACACAGGGATGGCCACTGGAATCCCCATGCCCAGCATGTCCATCCAGGAGGGTCACTTTCCAATTGTCTGCAGTCACTTCCTGCCTTTGGGTCCCTTTATGATCAGTCTGGCAATCTTGCAAACTTTCTCATCATGCTTTTTACTGCCCATTTCACAGTATAGTAGGAAAGCCAGCTTTCACATGTGCTGGGGAAGCGTCCAATTCATGAGACTCACTTTATGGAGACACAGGCTTCAGGACAATATTCGCTTTATGGCAGTCTATTGTGATAGTGGCTTAATTACGGCAGTCGGCTTCCAGCAACATATTGCGACACTGTCTTTATTACCACATTCACCTTACAGCAGTTCATGGAGACACTGGTTTATTCTGATATTTGCTCTATGGTGGTATATTGCACTATTGGCTTTATTGCGATATTCATTCACCTTTACAGCAGTTCATAGACATACTGGTTTATTATGATATTTGCACTATGGCAGTACATGGTGATAGTGGCTTTATTACATTCATCTTCAGAGCACCAGTTCTAAGGAAATTCATTCTCATTAATTCTCTCTCTCTCTCTCTCTCTCTTTCCCTCCCTCCCTCTCCTCTCTCCTCTCTCCCTCCTCTCCTCTCTCTCTCCATACTCTATATATCTCTCCATACTCTCTCTCTCCATCTATCTCACTCTCTTTAGCTCTGTCTCTCCATATCTCTCTCTCTCTCGCATATATTCTCTCTCTCTCTCTCAAATATTCTGTCTGTGTGTGTGTGTGTGTGTGTGTGTGTGTGTGTGTGTTTTCTGGAAGAAGATTCTTGTTTCCTTCAGTACCTAGAGATCTCTGTGTGTTCTGACCATGCCTGGTGTGCACTAGGGATGAAGACATGTTGCATTCCACCCTTGGTCTTTTACCACCTACTGGGTTTATCATCTCCCGGTGGAGACTGTTTCATAGCTTCTACGTGGTATCATTGCATCTGTGTGTTTGGGGGAACACAAGTCTGTCCTTGTGGGGACAGACCATGGGGCTAACCCTGTGACTTCTTCTTCCTTGACAGGTGACTGGCCTAGGAGCAAAGGGGATCCCATCACAGCCATTTGCTTGCTGAGAGTGCTGGTCGTCCATCAGAGCACTGGGCTCAGAGGGGCCAGGTGCATGTCATTCACATGTCAGCCCACAGCCGGGCCAGAGAATAAAGCTGACTGGCTCTCCAATGCTTTCTATCTCTTGCTTTTCTGGGTGTGCTTGTAAACTCTTGAGGCCAACATCATGATCTTTGTCACAAGTCCTCCAGCAGCTGTGTGGGATGCACACCCAGATTACAGCCTCCCGGTGCTCCTTACAGAAAGGTCACTGGTTTGAATCGAGCAGCTGCTTCTTGGTAAAAAGATAGGCAGTCTTCTCCTGAGAAGATTGTACAGCCTCAGAAACCTGATAGATGGTTGCAATGAGTTAAAGCTACCTTGATGGTCATGGGATAGACAGAAGTCCCTGTGTCAAGAGCCCTGGTGGTGCTGTAAGTAAGTGTAAGATGGAGAACAGAGATGGCTGCACAAGACAGAGCCAGCATCTGACCACAGTGTGGTCACCACCACCTGTGCCAGGCATTTGCATCTGAACTCCTGGCTGTTCCTGGGGATGGAGTGAGTTGAGGGTGTCCCAAGATGCCCTTTGCTGTCCTCACATGTCCTGTCTCCAACTAGTTGTTAAGTGAACCTAGGCTGGGTGGCCACAGCCTTCACCCAAGAGTCAGGTGGGGTTGGGGTGGGATGTGACCCTATCAATCCACATGGTGGGTAGGAGGAACCCCCACTGTCATCTGACTGCCAGCTGGCTGCATACTCCTATCCTCAGTCTTTATTTTATTCTGATTTTGTTTTTTAACTATTTTCTCAACTCGTATGGCTGTGAGTGTGTTTGCATGATGTGTGTACATGTGTGTGATGTGAACAGCACACTGTGTAGTATGTGTGTGTGGCTGTATTGGTCACCTTGTATGTTATGTCTGTAGTGTGCATGTGTCATGGGTTCACATCATGTGTGTGGGTGTGTGTATGCTGTGAACATGTGCATGGTGCCGTGTATGCGGTATGTGTGTGCACATGATGTGTGTGTTTAGATGTGTACTTATATATGTGTATCTTCCTCTATGAATGTGTGTGTGTGTGTGTGTGTGAGAGAGAGAGACAGAGAGAGAGAGAAATGGATGGATGGACAAACAGACAGACTGTAGTGTTTGAGGGGGGCCTGTCTGGTGATGGGAGGTGACAATAGCCCCCCACAAGCCCCCAGCCCCTACTGGCCAGGCAGAACCTTACGGCCCTGAGCCTCCAATGGCCTGAATATGGTAGGTGAAATCTTCAGTGAAGGACACAATGAAGGCTTTGTGAGCTGACTCTTCAAAACTGCTCACAGGGTTTCCACCCAACTGATTCCAACCCTGTTATTAAGTTAAAAAGAAAAGAAACTCATCCTCTCATGTATTCCAAGGTCATCCCACAGCTTAGGACAAGGTGTTTCCTTATTTTCTTGCCAGGAACAGGTGGTCACTGGCTGTGGGAACAGGGTTTCACTGCCCCTCACAGCTGCAATCTCAGGGACAAAACACTGCCCTTACAAATTACCTTGTACCTGAGGCCCTGGACATCCAGATGACCAGCTCTCCTTTGCCCCAAATCCAAGTTTCTCTCATAAGCTGGAAACTTGCTTCCTCACTCATGCATCTACCCATCCACCCACCTCCTCTCTCATCATCCAGTCATTCAATGCATCCAATACATAAATTCATATATACACATACCCATACAGACATGCACCCATCTGTCCATCTACTCAGCCATCATCCACTCATCCACCTACCATCCATGCATACATTCCATTCACCCATCATCCAAGTCACTTCCTCATCTGTCTGTTCACTCACTCCCTCACTCATCTTCCCACCCACCCATCTCACCACCTACCACCAACCCTGTCATCCAGCCACTCATCCATCCACCCTTCATCTGCTCATCCTTCTTACCACACACCATGTTTCCAATCATCCATCTACTCATTCATTTATTCACCATCAACCCATATATTCTTTATCCATCCATCCACCCATACATCATCCATCCATCCGTTCATTCACCCATCCATCCATAATCCATCCATCCATTTACCTATCCACCCATCTATTTACCTACCCATCCATCCATCCATTCATCCATCATCCATCCATCCGTTCATTCACCCATCCATCCATAATCCATCCATCCATTTACCTATCCACCCATCCATTTACCTACCCATCCATCCATCCATTCATCCATCATCCATCCATCCACACATCCATCATCCATCCATCATCTACCCATCTATCCATTTATCAATCCACTCATTTATGCATCCATCCACCCATCCATCCACACATTTATGCATGCATCCGTCCATCTATCCTTCCACCATCGCACTGACCAGATTCACCCTTTCCACAGAACTCATGGCTCAAATCTACCACAATTCCCTGCAAGGTAGCTATGATAAAGAATGGAAATGACACAAATATTTAAGATTTAAGGATGATTCTGGAAAGGCGGTCGTGGAGGCAATGGGACACAGAGACTGTAGGGACCTGAAAATGGACCGATGGGGCAATGGGGTGAGAGACAAGGGCTGCCACATTCCAGCACCTCATGATGGAGATCATGTCCGTGGGAATCTGGATGGGATCCAGGGGATGCCATTCACCTTCCAGGGAATGCAGATGCTTGGCTGAGTCTCAGGGGCACCGCCTGGCAGCTCCTGAGCACCTGGAGCCTAGCTGGTGTCCTGCCAGATAAGCATTCTTCTTTGGGAATGGACGCCATAATGTTCTCATCACCTAATCATCCTGTTGGAGTTGTTAGTGACGGAAGCAGCCAAGAACCTGGAGAGGCTGGAATCCTGTAGATCTGGATCTGAGCTGCCCCCATCGAGTACAAGTTAGGGGCCCTAAAATGGTAGATATTCCTTCTCTTACACCTCTGGAGGTCTGAAGTCCAGAATAAAGGTGTGTGTGCTGGCTTTGGCAGCACATATACTAACCTTGGAAAGATATAGAGAAGATTAGCATGGCCCCTCATAAGGATAATATGTGTGGGTGGGGATTACCCCTCCAGAGGTGCTGGCGAGTATTCTGCTTTGTCTGTCAGTCCAGGTGTTCTGGATTTGTGGTCTCCATCTTCACAGGGCTGACATCCCTCTGTGTCTCTCATTGCCTTTTCTCCTCTTTCATTAACACATCACTCATGTAGGATTAAGACTCATCCTCCTCCAGGGTGACCTCACAGTCCCTACTGACATCTTCAAAGACACACGTCTGAGAGGAAGGTGTGGGCAGGGCTGGGCTCCCTCCAGAGACTCCAGGGGAGGGTCCTTCCTCAGCTCTCCAAGCTTCTAGGGGGGTCTAGGCGGTCCTGGGTTCATGGCTGCATCTCTCTCGTCTCTGCCTCCATCTCTACACAACCGTCTCCCCTCTGGTCTTGCCTCCTCTGTTATAAGGACACCACTCAGGGGGAACCAGGACCCAAACCAGTGTAACCTAACTTAAAAAGTCTTGACATTTGTCAAGACCCTCTGTCCAACCAACACCATGTTCCTAGATACTGACCCATTGTAGATACTGGGTCAGGGCCCTCCATTTTTCGAGAACACAAGTCATCATGTAACACTCGAGTGACTGAGGTGACATGCACTGAGCTTGCTGTTATGTCTTTTTTAATAATTCATGGTTTGGTGGAGATTTTGCACAGGAAATCAGTTCCCCGTTTCACGGTTCAGTCTTCATAAGCTCGTGTCTTGGTTGTCCGGTGCTACTATAACAGAGATGCCACAAGGGTGTGGCTTTCATGGACAAGACTTTCTTCTTTC